ATCTGCCTCCTCCCCTGAGAAATCAGATGAGGCAGGATTTTTCCCTGGTGTAAATCAGGCGAGGTGGGGGAAGTCTTTATAGGAAAACTCTGCAGCCCCAGGGCTGCTCCCACTCTTTCTCATGACAGATGTCCCCTGCAGAGCAACTGGATTGTCTCATCAGTCCTGCTCAAGGGACACAGATTGTGTTTGTCACGACAGGCTAGCACAAGCTACTCTTAAACATTTAATCAATCTCTTTAAAGTTTAGCTCCACAGAATGTTTAGTTGCTGTGCGCATAGAAACCGAGGTGCTAGAAAAGCTGAAAAAGACCACATGTTCTTGTTAAAGTCACATGTTCGGCTATTTTCTAATAGCGGAAAGTGATGCGTCATTTCAGAACCTTTACTATCAAAGCCAAAAAACGCCAGCAAAAAAAAAGAAACCAATTACATCATTGGTTCTGTACTGAGCAGAGGGAGGACTCAGCTCACAAGAATCAACACGCCAGCATGACAAGCACAGTCTGTCCACTCCCATGCACTAGTCTGTTTCCTTTAAACTTACAAACATTGGAAACGGCAGCTGAGAATACAGAACTAGCCATAGTAGTTTCTGAGTTACTCTATACATTTAGCAACACCTTTACATTTTCAGGTGTAGAGGTGGAAGAACATTAAATTCTGAAGTGACCAAACCAACAAAACAAGGGCCCAGCTGCAGTACGAGAAGGAAACGCACAGTGCTGTCTGTGACGGCAGTTTAAGAATGCAGAATAAATTTGCTTCAGTGTATTCCAGATCGAGTCGAGTTATGTTATCAATGTTATCAAGTGAGCAATCTTTCATGTGGGTAATATTAGTATATTAAGCATTCACTAGTTAGCAGTGCTACCTACAGACAGCCTACATCACCTCAGGTTTTCTTCCATGGCAGTGATGTTTCTGTCCATACTAGCTTACCAGCAGTGGTCCACAGAAAGATCAAGCCTAATCTGAATTTGGTGCCCATTCATAAACTTGATATCTTTTTTAAATCTTCTGACTTGAAATGTTTTGAACATACAGAAATATCTTGTTAAAGTTTGAAACTTATTGATAGCTGCCAGACACTCCCTACCTCTTTCAGGTTAGTTCAACGAGTGTGTTTAATTTAAACACACTCATTGAGTTGACTCGTTGATTATTAAACACACTTAATAATCTAATAACTGCAGAAAATCAGATTTTGTCAGTAATCCGATCAACACATTTACATGCACTTGATTAATCGGATAATGGGGAAAGTCTGCCTCTACAAGAGTCAGACAGTAATCAGATTTCTGCTTTTCAACCAGCCAATAAACTTACAGAAGAAGACGTGACGTAAATGTAATGTAAAATTTCATGCTGTGTCTTTTTTTAAAACATGACGGCACTTTACCTGAAAATATGAACATACATCATCTAGAAGATGAAAAATATTGAAATCCTTTATTTCGTGTTTGGTTTCAGCACCACTTCAAAAGTGTTTTACTGCCATCTCACGACATCCACCATCTATTCTTGCTCATGCACAGACTGAGAAATCCGAGTATGAGTTTACATGCACTGAGAAATCTGATTACTGAGCTAAATTCAGCTCTCTTAATCGGATTTCTTAATTGGATTTCTATACCAAAGCATGGCGTTTACATGACCATTTGAATAGTCGGGTAACTGCAGATTATCTGATTATGATTGGATTATTGAGTGCTTTGTTAATAGCTTTTTACCAAAGTAGCAAAGCTAAACTAGGGACTCACAGTCATTTTAAATAAATCACTTTAAGCAGAAAAGGCCACTGACTCACAGGGAAAATAGTGTAGGAAGGTCACCAACAGCCACTGAAGGTGAAAACTACAACCACGCTAATTAACTCACAGCAGAACCCAATAAAACACAACCAACATGTAAAATCTGGTTCAGTTAATTAAACAACAACAGCAACAACAACCACAACAAATGTCCTTTTAACAGGAGCTGGTGGCGTGTGCAAGCGCTACTTTGCGCGCCACACCCCTTGAGCTGCCATGAACAGCGGCGCTCGTGGCAGACGCCACAGTATGTTTTTTCAGAGGACAAGACAGCTGATCACAAGACGACTGCCGCTTTGTGACTTGTCCACTTATAATAATGATAATGATCTTTGTGATGAAGTTCTCAAACCAAGCAGAATTTGAGAAGTGAGAATCTCTCAGCCTTCTCTTAGAGAGATTGAGAAAGAACTGGCATAATACAAAGAGCCCCCATTCTCATTCTCTTGTCTAGAAAATAACTGCTTGAAACTGTGCACTCCTATGTACTTGCTCATTGGCTCATCACCACAACAGGTACCCTGTGCCTGCTGGAGCATAGAATAGATCTACAGACGTTCTTGAACTAAACATGGACATTAGCTATGTTACACACTCCTTTAGCATACATACTGATCTAAGATGGGTCACCTGAAAACAATGCTCTTTATCTTACTTAGTGAGTCAGACAGTAAGGAACATCCTTCATCCAACAAGTCGCTGGCTTCTTGTATGCGTAACTGGAATAAGCAGGTTATTTTTAATGAGCCGTAGTTCTGTTTATGAAATTAGCCCTGGCCTCCAGACAGATCTCAGAGGACCATCATGCGGTAGAAGAAGCCTTTCGAAAGGTCAGGTTGTTTTCTTTTTCATGTCCATTTTCATCCCTGTCGTCTCACTGCCAAAATGAGGAGTGGCATCTCATTCAGACTGGAAGGAGCGTTTACTTATGTTATTGGAGGCATTTCGCTCGAAAAAGAAAATGCACCGCATGTTACAAGTCCCTGTCTGTCGAAGGGAACCAGAGCAAAGTGCAATCAGCAGAGTCAGCATTCAGTCACTTCTAGGTGATGATTAATTGCTATTTTATGTAAAAGTAAAATCTTTAAAAGTAAAAAGGTCTTCTTCTGTGTCTTTTTCACAGTGCATTTCTTTTTGATTCTTCGTATATACATGTTTAACAGTAATTTGTGCTTACCAGGGATTTCTCCAGGGATATTCCTTAAATGTCAGTCCTCACATTTCACTGCAAATGATTTTGTCCTTCATACATATTTAGTTAGGAGCTCCCCCATGCACTGGGTGACACTGATGCGATGATTCAACAAAATCTTGTTGATGGATAACGTCTGTCTGTTTGGGTGTTTGATTAGACAGTCTTTCACAGGGTGCTACACTAATTGGCTGGAGGCGAGCGGCAAATCATTTCAAATATATAGCTGGGCCAAGCTGGGATAAATGCCGCAACTTTAAGCCTATCAGCTATTAAAGCTTGTGCGAAGTCATTTAAACCAGAGAATTACTCACGGTGGCATCCTACTCGGCTGTTCGTCACCCACACTCTGTTAAGGCTGTCTCTGGAATCTGCACAGAATGACATCTGAAGCATACACAAAAATGTATATGCTAAGTCTGAACGTGTATATTAGAGATGTCAGTATCGATGGGTATCAGGCCGATATCAGCAGAAAATGCTGGACTGGATGTCAGAGAGAAAAATAGAATGAATTTGATCCAATCTTATTACAGATGTAGTTTGAAATAGCACTTATTCACATTGTGTGATGTGATGTTGTAAGCTGTCTGTTTGTTTCTCTGGGGTGGTAGTGTGTTTGAGTAGTTTAAGCATGATAACCTACTTTCAGATTAAATGCTTCAAATACAAATGGTTCATTTTAAAGCTTAGTAGCTTTTAAAGAAGAAATTGCTATTGGTCTCTGTGGGGTCTGTTGCATTGAAGCAACGTTGTGCAACAATGCAAAGAAGTTATAAAGTGCATTACATGAAAAACAAGACTATTTATGTAAAAAATCAAAATATAATTATCAATTTGTTAATGTTTAAATACTAAATGTTAAACAGAACAATTGGATTTTATTTTGCAACGTGCGTTATGTTTCAACTTACAGCTCACTTAACAATCAGTAAAAATAGTCAGAATAGGCACTTATTTTCTGAACAAACCTAATTACACTAGTAAATATACTATATGCTCACTGCTACGTGACAGTTGTGCAGAATGAGATTCTATAAATTGTGCATACATCCTAAATAACTACTACAAATGTTATATATTTAGTAATGTTAGATAATAAGTAAGTTAATTACTTAACAAGTTGGCTCCCAAATAAACAAAAATGCTAAAAGAACTGTAGAATATCTGTAATGTTCTCTCAGCTTATAGCTGTGTGACACTTACTTGCTACTGTAGACTCTATTCCACTGTTGCATAATTTTGCTTCTGGGGAACGTGCACATTCAAGCACTTTCCCAAAATATACAAATAATATATGTGATATATAATGTATAGAAAGGAAATTTCTGATGTGTGAAAATTTGGTTTTCTGAGGGAAACTGTCTGAAGGAGCAATGTGTATCATCCACAAGCTTATAAAAAGAATAAAAAACAAAACACCAGGAGTGTGATCAAATGCATGCTTTTTTGTTTGTTTATTAATTTAACGTCTTTTTTTCATTATCAGTCTTTTAATTGCCATTAAACAGGTGTAATATGAGGAAATTGCATTTATATTAATCGCATCAACATGTGTAAAGTGGGGGACATGGGTTTATTTCCCTATATATTATATGAACATTTCCTAACAAGCTGACCAATGGAAATGGAAACCGTTTTGATATGAAATATGAGATTTTGTTATTAACATTATTGTTATTATTCTGCAAACGTGTTATATAAAAAACAAAGTGGTCCTATAAATAACAGTATATTGTTATGCCATCACTCACGTAATGCAAGACAACCATTTAAGCAGTGAAACAGGTCTAATACAGAGCCCCTTCTGTAGACTTACATAATTTAATATGAAAATGTCCATTCAGTTTAAATTCATTTTTCAGATTACCCTAGGCTTTACAACAACACTGGAGAGAGCTGAACAGACACTGGGATGTTTAAGATATCCCATAAGACATACACTAGCAGTCTAATCAGCTTCCTGGATCTTAATGTTTGTGTTCTCTCTACAGGAAACCACTGCGGAAAGAAGAGAACGGCACAAGCCGAGGAGAGTACGCCATGAGCTCTCGCTGCAAGCAACAGGTGGTGGAGACCAACAACACTGGCGTATAGTAGTTCCAGAGCAAAGCAGTGGAACACTGTAAAAACTCCTGACCCCATGACACCATCTCTTTCTCCCAGCTTTGAAAGGGTTTGGAGATGGATGAAAGGTAGAGAATGAACTTTTGAAGGAACTTTAAACAGTGACTCTGCTTGAGTGGGAGATATGAATACTTAAAAAAACACTTAAATGACAAATAAGTGCTGGTTTATGATTGAAGTATGACAGTATAAAAAAGGATCAGAGAAACCATGGAGCCCAGAGACTCATTGTTATGTTGGACCAGATGACAGCTGTCAGTATCCTGAGGCTGAGGCTGTCAGGCCCTGAGACACCTCGAGGCCTCCTTGGAGGACAGTATACCAGTAAACACCAACAACAAATCAAACGCATGCACTTTCTGTTGAATGCAATGACGTCTTAAGGTTCCTCTCCTCGCTCTCCTTTCTGTCTCTGTTTCTCTGCAGTTTCCTCCCTCCCAACTTCATGTAAATAAAGAAGGCCATGTTGCTTTGTGAGTTCTGGTTGGAGCGCATCCTGAGATGTAGTTTGTGTACCAAGTGTAAGCTAAAGGAGAAGCAGGACGTTGATTGCTTTTTTTGTATGACTATGCAACTGGAAAGGATTGAAACGTAGTGGTGCATGTTCGTGATATAAAAAACACAATGTTAGCATCATTTGCTGCTAATCAGCATTGCTAATTTCTAATGTCGATCAAGCAGTCTGATACTAAGTGGCCAATTACTTGCTCTAATGGTATTACTGTACATGTGTAATTGACTAATTAAGCTGTCATTGCTTATCATCAGTAAGTAGATTAGAATACATGCCACATATACATAAATTAAAGACTGTTATTTAACTAGAGTTACATCATGAAGCAAATCGCTGCTGTCTGAACAAAACCTTGTATCTCCGTTTTTGCTGTTTTTCAGTTTTTTACATAATTTAAAAATGTCTGTTGTCTTTTACATTGTGCTCAAATTTCATGATGAAGGGACCAAAAGAAATGGCCCAAAACATACCATGTTTCCATTACTTGGAAAAAAGCCTGGTTCCATTGACTTACATTGAATTAAAAGTATGTTTTTTCCTTCTCCTGTAAAGTTACCATTTTGGAGATGCGAGGTTTTGTTCTGACAGCAGTGAAATTATTGTTATTATTATTTTAGGTTTTGTAATTGGAATTCTTCACACAAATTAAAAGATCTTTACACCTTATTACATGATGTATTTTACTAAATTATCACAACAGAATTTAAATTAAGTGTTAAAATGTAATATTCACCATCCATGAGTTAATAATCTGTTTTTGAGTGCAGGCATTAGCCTGGGCAGACTGTCCCATGTGATGAAGAAGTTAATTCCTTAAAATATATAATTGCACAGGGATGCAGGAAGGTGTTTTACATTTTCCTCATTTTTTGAAATAGAAAAGGTTGATGTAGTAATATATAAACACTGTTTCAAAGTCTGTAAAGTTCATATATGAAAACTACGCTGCAAAAACAGCCCATTATGAATTTATTGTGATGTCACAGAAAACAATCCATTTACATACACCTACCACAGCAGTTTAGCCCACCCACTGATGCTGAAGTGAAGGAGTGTTTCATCCCAGACTACTTTTTGAATGGAGCTTATTTACATATATCAGTCTTAAAGGCACAGTAACAAAAACAGCCTGTTTAATTAATTAAGGCATAACGTCAGACAGTGGTCCTGGAAAAATGAATTATGACTGTTTTTTTGGTACCTAAAGGCCCACAGACATTATGAGTGTACTTCAAGGAGTAAAATTGCAAAAATGATGTAGGATATGGGCCCTTTAAGTTGGTGGTGCTACCATTTTAGGCAGCACATACTTGATGTACTGCAAAAATTATTTGTCGTCATAATGCGCTATAATGTAGCAAGAGACGCCAATTTACACAGTCGATTTGTTTTAAAACTCAGTTCTTTTATTTATTTACTTATTTTATTTTTAATTATTATTTTACGCAGTTATAGTTAAACAATCCTGAAATCTGGGGGTGGTACAGCACCCTCACTTCCCTGGTCTCTGCAATTTGCATTATTACAAAAAAATGTAATGAAGTGCTCACTTGCTTTGGATAAATCATGTTATAAACTGCACTTTCAAGCTACTCCAAACTGCTGGAGCACAGAGAAGCCTGCAGATGATTAGACTCATAAAACAGATTTATTTATCTGTTTGTAACTACTCATTTTCAGTTACCATCAGTGCTGATTAATTTCAGCTAAGTTGAAATATTTTATATGCCAATTACAGAGCAAGAAGTATACTAAATGACTGCCTTTGCAAAGAAATGAAGTAAGATTACAAATATTGCTCTTATATAGGCATTTTACTGGCATTCCATAACTGGCAAAAACAAGCTGCATTTTTTGGTTGGTTATATTTTATGGATATATTTTCTTAAGCTGCTTTCTGTGGCATTCTTTAAAAAAACAGTCACTGTATCATTTCTGTTCATTCCATTGATTTTTCCTCAAGATGCTGATGTTGTTCTTTTTAGCACTTGTTCATGTTTGCCTGACTGGGATGTCAATGATTTTGAAAAAGTGCAAAATTCAAACAGTAACTTTGAAAACTCAGCAAGATGATTGGTTTTATTGTTCATGCTGGATCTGACTAGATTAAAAAACCCAAAGATCTGATGTAATGGTAGTGATGTAATGTTCTTACATAGCGCAACTGAGCAGTGAATCACTTGGGTTTTTAAATGTTTATCTAACTCACCAAGTTTGTCATGTAAACGATCATTCCTACTGTTTCAGCCTGTATAATACACTCTCCCAGTTACAGAACACTGTCCTCGTACTCTCTCATCCATTCAAACATACTGAAGATAAATGTGTATCATAGTGTACAAAACTACTCTGAAATATATTGCATGAATGTAAATATCAGTATTTGCCTTCTTGACCGTATCATGTACAGAGTAAGAGAACATATGTTTATAGGGATAAATATCAGTTGATGTGGTATCAGAACTGAATATGTGTTGTTTGTTTGTCTGGAACAAGCCATTAATGTATATTGGAGTAATTAAAGGTTGTTGCACAATGTATGCATCACATACCAAAATGTTCAACATATATACTGCAACATGCTGACTTTTTTAGTTTTAAATAAAACTGTACTTCTGAATCTAGTGTCATTCATTTCTCTAAGTCAATTTCTATAAATTGTTATGCATTAGTGGAAAATCTAATATCATCTATGCATTTATAAACACAAATAATTGAATTAAGAAAACTAATAGTTGTGTTCATACATACATCTTGAAATACTTCATTATGCTGTTATGCATAACATTAAGAGTGACACTTTATTGGACTGGTCCTTTGTATATGATTAATAAACTCTTAACTTATCAGTAACACATTAACAACATATCAGTGAAGTAGCATGTAAACACAGTCACGAAAGTAGCTTTTTATCATTTGAGAAATATCAAAATGTATAAAATATATATAATAAGTTTGGCCATTTCTATAACACATGTTCTCCCCATGTCTGCGTGGGTTTCCTCCGGGTACTCCGGTTTCCTCCCACGGTCCAAAGACATGCAGTCAGGCCAATTGGAAATGCTAAATTGCCCCTAGGTGTGAATGTGTGTGTGATTGTATATGTGTGTCTGTCTGTCTGCCCTGCTATGGACTGGCGACCTGTCCAGGGTGTATCCTGCCTTCCTGCGCAATGACAGCTGGGATAGGCTCCAGCTCCCCACTGCAACCCAGAATTATAAGCGGTTTAGATGATGTATGCATGTATGTATTTCTATAACAGAGCAATGCAGAGAAACTTGTTCATGCATTTGTTACAAGCAGAGTTGATTACTGTAATGTTTTTTTCACTGAGCCCCCTAAGAAAACAGTCCAACCTCTACAATTCATACAAAATACACCAGTACGTATCCTAACAGAAACAAAACAGAGAGATCATATCACTCCTGTTTTAAAAGAACTGTACGGGCTGCCTGAATCTTTCAGGATAGAGTTTAAAGTTCTGCTACTAGTTTTTAATGCTTTAAATGACCTTAAAGCAACTGCATACCTCACAGAATATCTGTCTGTTTATGTTCCAGTGCAAGATATTAGATCTGCAGATACTGGCCTTCTGCAAACACCTTCTGTAAAATACAGAAAACGTGGAGAGGCCTTGTTCAGTTATTATGCTTCGAAACTGCGGAACTCAATTCCACCTTCTATTAGACAGTCAACCTCAGTTTACACTTTTAAGAAACATTTGAAAATGTGTCTCTTTAATTTAGCATTCAATTAAAATACTATGCCTCTGGTATTTTTTTTACTGTAAAACGGTATCACCTGTCTATAAAGGACTCAAAGTGCTCTATAAATAAACATATGATTTTTGTTATTATCACAACATAATCAGTGATTCATACAATCATACTTAAAAGTTTGAATACACCCAGTCAAAGTACGTTTTGTTCTAAGTGAAAACAAAACACACATCCTGTACAGGGAACAAACTTAAATATTTTTTAAATATTTTTTGTGCACAATTTAAGATATTAAAAAAATATATAAAATGTGCCCTAACTTTTGCACATTCTACATTTTATATTTTTTTAGTTCAGTAAATAAACAATAGTTGCACATTAAAATGTGTAAATTGTGCATTTAAATGTGTAAAAGTGTGTTCTCGGTAAACTGTGATATTTTCACTTTGAAAATGAAAGAAATGTAATTTGACCAGGGGCGCTCACACTTTTGCATACAACTGTATGTTTTGTAAGTGGTTCATATTGTGGCATTATTTTACACAAACATATCAAATTGCTCGGGTGTTGGTGCCATACATGGTTTTGCTGTGAAATTAGTGGGCATACGGTAAACACAGTAAACAGTTGTCCTTGTTGACCACTTGCCTGTCAATCATTTCTGGAAGTGTAATTTAGATGAATGAAAGGATGGGATGTCATCTCCATATAAAGCACTGCAAGCTATTTCCTCTCATTTTCAGTGGGGGGGTTGGGGGGTTATTACTTTAATGTGGATGAAGATGATGGATTGCCCAGAAATGTTTGGCATCACTGAGGTGGAGCCCATCATCCAGCTGCATTTGGAAGGAAAGATTGCAGGCTGGTTATTTTATGCTGACGGTGCCAATTATGTTGACAGGAGCAATGCTGCATGTCAATCAAAGTTAAGTAATGGTTGGTGCACATTTGTGTGTAGTGTGTTTCACTACATGAAGATGTATTCATGTGTGTGGTGTGTGAGTATGTGTGTGTGTGTGTGTGTGTGTGTGTGTTTGCTTTCATACATTTCCAGGCCAAATAACACAGAAAAGCAGAGGTAATTTACAACGTCAAAACCAATGTCAAAATCTCCACACAAAAGCATCAGCAATAGAATAGAGCAGCCACACATGAACCTAAAGTTACCATGTCCAATGCTAAGCATCAGCTAGAGGGGTATAAAGTTCCCCAGCATTGGACTGTGGGGCAATGGAACTGCATTCTCTGGAGTGATCCTCCATTCAGTAACTTAGGAATGTTTTGGAGTGACATTTGCGATCCATTACTATTTATCCAACATCAGTATCTGACTTCACTAATGCTCCGGTGGGCTGAATGCAATCAAAAACCTCACAGCACTGTTCTACCAAGTGTATAAAATCAAGCACATAGCCTTGCAATCTCCATAGATAAACACTGACAGTAGAATGGATCAAACTGAAGAGCACAGTGACATTAAAAGTGGCACTATCATAGGATACTCATCCTATCTTGATCCTATGCTACATTTCTATGTCACAAGTTTGTGAGGTTTCTACCCTGCTAGACCTGCTCCAATCAACTGTAAGTGCTATTATTTTGAAATGGAAGCATCTAGGAGCAACGACAGCTGAGCCAGGCAGTGGTAGACCACGCAAACTCACAGAGTAGTTTTTCCTTGGCTTTCCGGTTTCCTTGTCCTAGCAGTTGTGACACAATGCCAAGTGTCAACTGGAGTGGTGTAAAGCGTGCCACCACTGGACTCTGGAAGCAGAAATCTGTTCTCTGGAGTGATCACCCTTCACTGTCTGGCAGTCTGACAGACAAATCTGAGTTTAACATTACCTACTAGTTTTGTGGAAGAGGTATAATGGACTGGGGCTGTTTTCAGGGTTTGGGCTATCCTTCTTAGTTCGAGTGAAGGGATAAAGTTACATACAAAGGCATTTTTGACAATTATATGCTTTCAAATTTGTGGCAACAGTTTGGAGAGGGTCCTTTCCTGTTCCAGCACGACTGTGCCCCTGTGCATATTGCAAAGACCATGAAGACATATTTTGATATGTTTGGTGTGGAAGAACTCCAGCGGCCTGCAGAGAGCCCTGACCTCAACCTCACTGAACACATTTGGGATGAATTAGAATGTCGATTGTGAGCCAGGCCTTCTCGTCCAACATCAGTGCCTGACCTCACCAATACTCTTTTGACTGAATGGCCACACATTCCAAAATCTTAAGGAAAGAGCACAGGCTGTTGTAGTCGCAAAGGGGGCACTAACTCTATATTAATGCCCATGGTCATAGGTGTGATGGTGAGTTGTGCGCATACTTTTGGCCATCAAAGTACATTAAAAGTATATTTAATAAGTATTTATAAGTATATTTGTGTAAGTATCTAAAAGTATATGGAGCTGGGACCCAAAGACAGCCTGGTCTTGCCTACAGGCACAATGAGGACCTTGTTCCTACATCTTCTGCTTGACTTGGGCTCCAATTTCAAAGCTTGAGCTCACTCGTAATTGGCCCTCATATTAAGTCACCCAGTATTAATGCAATGTTGATGTTGTTTTAGCTACCACAGGATAGTCAGATCTATATCAAGCCATAGGAACATCACTGAAGAATGGACTACCTACCAGGAGTGTGTTTACAGTCCGCTCGCGTACCAAAACTACAACGTCAAAAAAAGTTTATCAGAATAAAAACATCATCATTTCAGATACACACTATAAGCCTCAAGGAGACCTATATGGTAATACTGCATAGGTGCACACACAATGAAGGAATAGCTATGC